AAAGAAAGGGGGATCTACTTAGCATGAGCTGAGAACCAGTGCTGAGCACTCAAGCCTTGAGTGTCAGTCCCAGATCCTGTCACTTCCTTTGGAGAGCTTGAGCAGAGCTCAGGCCCTCTGAGTGGCTCTGGCTGCCCCCAGCAGGACCAGCAGACAGGAAACTGGAGACCCGAAATCAAATCTCTTCTTAGCCTGGGGATTTTGGGCTGATGTTCCTCACCTTCACAGCAGAAGTGGAGATAGGTGTTAAGAGTCAGTGTCAGAAGCAGTGGTGGCAGAAGGAAACCTGGCTGCGGCTCGGGAGCTCCTGGGCTCAGCTGGTGGACACGTTGCTCCCAGTACGTGTGGTTTTTGGTCCTATTCTTCTAGAGAGACACTTCTTGTTGCACTCTCTGGGCTGGAAGACAGCTCAACCATTTCATCTAAACCCCAGGATCATGCAGGATCAGTCTCCTACCCACATGTTACTGATTTTATTAACAACTGAAATTGTGTTTGATTTTAATATAAGTATAGAATTAAGAGATATTTTAGTAAAAATCATTTTACATTTATTGTATTTTAAATCTAGCAACTGACTGCTACTCTAAAATCCCCTGTACAGCCCTGTACCAAGGCTGAAGGGATTGGTCATAATTGTTTAATGAGAACGGTTAGAACCTAGGTAACATAACACGAGGTAATTTGTAAACTGATTTATAATACATACATAGGACTAGAAGAACGCAAGTAGTTTTCAAGGTCCAGGATTAATGGGAACTGAGGGAAGTAACCGTAACAGCTTGCAGGTACCTGCCAAGAAAACTGTGTCCTTACGCAAAAGGTAATTCCAGCAGGGGGAGATCGCGACCGCCTACTCACATTACACCCCAGACCCATTTCTAGACATTTCTAACCTTTACTACACAGATTCGGCAATAGGAGGAGAATATGTTAATGATTTCTTGGAAGTTGTGTGTTTATGTATGAAGACTTAATGAATATGTATGAGTAAGTTCTATATAAGGTGTATGATTCTGGTGCCTGGCACGTGTTGTCGGTGAGAGCACTCCCCTACACGTCCGGCCGTCAATAAAGAAATGTCTGCTT